CTACATTGCCCCATAAACAATGATTTATTGTACAACTGGCAACGCCGAACCTGTCATGCTGGCATGTATTGACATTTGACAGATGCAGTCTTATGAGTCTAGTGTTTACAGTGTCCTTCTTCAACCAACAGATAGTTCAGCTAGTGAATCATAAATGACTCTGTGTGTTCTATAACTTTTGTTGTTTCCATATACTTTTGTATCGATGAATCGAGCGCCTATTTTTGTGCGGTTACTGATAACAGGACATGAAACAATTCTGTACGATAAATTATTAAAATGAATCTCTCAATATACGCAAAGCCACATAAATTTGTGCATCGATTACGTCACACGCGCCTCTCGCTCTTACACATACACACATGCACATCTTTACATGAAATATTAATCATTTCCCAAATCTAAGTATATTTTCCTATCGTCAATATGATAATGACGATTACAATCTACGGAAATAAAAAAAAATGCTGTCAAGTATAATGAATGAGTCAATTTCGGTCCCGACAAAACTAACGCAAAAATAAAAATGCTGTCAAGTATAATGAATGAGTCAATTTCGGTCCCGACAAAACTAACGCTATAAATACCCAACATTCGCAGTTAACTTCAATATCTTACGATGGTGTAGAGGCTAAGGACAATGTCTACCGCGCGGACGTCGTGGGTTCGAATCTCATAACTATAAACTTTTTTTAATTAAAATCACGTGACTGGAACGTGACAAGGGGGCTGAGGGGTGAGGAAGAGTCGCAAGAGGGCCTGAGCGGTGATGCGAAGTCCCAAGGGGGCCGAGTTCCATGCTTGAATCGCTACGATACTCGTTCCATCCTGTGTCGATGACGTTTCCCCCACTCCCAAGTGGTCCAGAATCGGTGTTGTTCATCTACTATCCAAATAACCTTTTTTGGAGCCTACTTTCCATTTATATGTTCCAGATAATCTACTATAAATAGCAAATATATCTTTTCTTAGATTCTGTCATCAATAACGAAAAACATTAGAATTTCATTCGATTGACACACTCATAATTAGCAAACTAGGCAACCCAAAAACTATGAAATCTGTATTTTATACTGAAGTTTTGATTTACAACAATCAACCCAATAATATAAAAAAATACTTCAGATAAACGATTCAAAACAAAATGAAATAAACGTTTGCTAAACTACCTACCTTTTTTTGTCTCTCATCAAATTCTGCTTCAGTCTATGTAGTACCTATATTTGTTTGTATTTTTCAATTGATCAAGATCCTTACTATAAACACTTAATGTTTAGTGGGGCCAATAAAGATTATTGTTATCAATATTTATATATTCTCTAGATGCATGCATTGGGAGAAATTTGTGGAGTTTGTTGGTGATGTTCCTCTGGAAAAATGTCACAAAAACATGAGATTATGTCATCTTCACTTTGATGAGAAATATTTTACATCAACCAAAGAAAAACGCCTAAATAAAGATGCAATCCCCACAATTATTTCAGGTAAGAATAACGGTTCTCAATATATCGAACAACGGTAACGACCTTGGAAATTCCTTCAATTCAGTCACAGGAGATTATAATTCTATTATTATATAAGACAATCTCTCCAAATATGAACAGTTTTTGGGCTACCTGCCATAATTGCTAATGACTATTGAGATCTATAAGGTCAAGGAATTTTCGAGAGCCACATTTTCATTTATGACTGGAAGAATTCTAGGGAAAAATATTCATACTGAAGTTAAAAATTATATTTTCAACAGTTGATATATCCACGACATCGGGAAATGCTCATACAAGTGGGGACGTGAAACCCATACGTCAGAGTGAACTTGAAGAAGAATCAGAAATCTGTATAAACGAGGAATCTTTCGATAAAGAAATTGATATGGAATCATTATCGATGGAACTTGAATTAGATGAGGAAGCTCCAAGTTTGGAATGAGCTTACAAAGATGAAGATGAGGCAGTGTCAAATACTGATTATTCTCACTCATTTGATGGAGGTATGATTTTCTTCCATTTTTCACGACATGCAAATAATTATTTTTTTTATATTTGAAGATCCATTTGCATCTGGAAATTATTTTTGTGTGTGTGTGTGATTTCCACATCTGAAAGAGTTTTTTTTAAATTTTCGATGAAATTTTTCATTTTCATATCAATAGGCCACTTGAAACCCAACTACAATAATTGACCAAATGCAAATAATGTATGTTATCTTCAGATACGGGAATGTTGATAATGCTTTATATAAGTATCGTTATTAGGAAGATGTATCTATTTATATAGACTAATTATATATAGCATTTGTTGCAAGTGTTTTTTTAAATTCTTTGTTGTTAATTCAGATAAATCAAGGTCTGTTCAAGTACAAACTTCTAGTCACTTATCATATCACTCCCCTCGGAAGACTCAGCTGAGGAACAGAAAACCTATTTTAACAAAGAGACTGAGTTATATTGAGAAAAAACAGAAAGAACACAAGTTTAGTAAAAATTTGAACTTGACTGATGTCACTAAATTCATAGAGAAACAGTTGCCAATTTTATGAAGTTTCAATTAACGGAATCGCAGAAAAACACTAAAGGGGTCAGATTTTCAGATAGTATGAAATAATTTTCACTGGCAGCCTTCTTATTGGGACCAAAGTGTTATAAATATCTATCCAAATATTTCAAGCTACCCTCCAGGTCCACACTGCAGAGGATCCACCAGAAAATGGCCTATTGATGCAGGATACAATGAATTTATTTTTGATGTCATCCAACTAAAAATCAATAATTTCAGTAATCAAGATGAGGACTGCAACATTTGTTTCGATTAAATGAGCATCAAGTTCCACTTATTCTACAATATAGGAAAGGAAAGTTGGTTTTGAGGAATTATTCAACAAGAAAACGGCTTCTATAGCAGAATATGCCTTGGTAGTCATGGCAAAAAGCATACATTCGAACTGGAAGTAGCGTGTTGCATACTTTTTTACCGATTCATCAACATCGATACTGAATATAAAAAGTATTGTGATTGAAGCTGTTAGGCAATTATCAAAAATTGGAGAGAGTTAGGGGTATCATTTCAGATTTAGGTTTTAATTTTTTTATAAACTTGCCAGAAAAGATCTCGAAGGGATTGTAGAGCAGCCATATTTCTTGGTTGATGAGAAAAAATATTTTACTTTTTTGATACTCCTCATCTGCTGAAATGTAGCAGAAACCATTGTTTCGATGACTTTTTGAAATTTGATGAATATACAACGAACAAAAGTCATCTTGAACAACTTTACAACTTGGATAAGAAAAAGTAATATAGACTAGCACCCAAAGTTACTGATTCTCATTTATTTCCAACTAACTTTCAAAGGATGAAGATTAAATGAGCCAGTCAAGTTTTCAGTTATTCGGTAGCTACAGTATGCCAGTTTCAATAAGAACGGCTACATTAATTGAAAAAATGGATAAAGTGTTTGATATTTTAAATTCAAATAGATTTGACGATGTGAAAGATTTCAATAAACCTTTTTTTGGAACAGCAAAACAAATTGATTTTTTGAAAGAAATGAAAATATTTTTCAGCGAATTATCTGTAATATCGAAAAAAGGAAAAAACACGACTGGACAAATGAGATTCATTGAGGGGTGGCAGATAACAATTTTGGCATTTCTGCAACTTTTTAGTATGATCGACCTTCGAATGACATTCAGTGGTTAAATTTAGACTCCCTCAAAGTAATACCTCTAAGTAATTTTTTAAGTTTGTTTCGTTTCTGTATTATATCAGTGGTTCAGCCATACCGGGGCTTTTAAATAATTATACTCCATCAATAATTATACCCCATATACTTTTTCAAGGAATACTGGACTGTAGCTATACAATACTGGTAGAAAACCATATGTACAACTCTTTTGGAAGATCCTTGATGCCACCTTTGTTGAATAATTTGGATATATCTAAAGCAACTGCCAAAGAGTCTCTATATCTCTCACCATTGTGATACAAGCTAAAAGAGATCTTTGGTTCATTTTTATAGTCCTTGGACCCACTCGGAAATTTTTATGATCAAACTGTCGAGACTTCAAATGTTCTTCTTTAGTTCGGGTCGGACAAACTTCTGAAAAGATCATTCTTGATAGGAGGGAGTTTTTCTCGAGCAGGAATATTTATTAAGGTCCTCAATAGTTTCTAAAGCAAAAAAATCTTTTATTTTTTTCAATATCAAATAATTTCCCAATTGCGAAACGACCTTGGTCGAACCTATTGAAAAAAATTATAAACTCCTGATTACAAAAAAATATATTGAGCTCATAAATATTCATACTAGAATTAAATCAATGATTTATCTGAGATGTTGATAAACACCTCGTATCAAGGATTGTTATCTTCAAAAGTTAGTCTAACTCGGCCTAGACATCGAACACTTGAAGTTTCAATAGCACAGGTCTGCATAAAAAACTTTTTTGAAAATTGTTTTGATTTCGTTAACTGATCATTATGTAGTTTTTTGCGCTGCGTTTTATTTTTCCGTCAAAACTACTTTTGATACTTTTTCGGCTGTGTTCTTGTGAATTTTCCCTTTTTAACATCCAACAGTAGTCTGCCATCATGTTAACATTCCACCGACCTTGGTATCTGCGTTCCATTTCTTTTATGCCTTGATGGAACCGTTCTTCTTGTACCTCACTTACAGCCGCTGGATTTTCGGGAAAGTAGTCCAGATGTGAGTGAAGGAAATGGACTTTGACACTCATGTTGCAGCTCAACATTTTGTAGTTTTGTATAGATTCAGCAACCAAAGTTTTGTAGTTTGGGTCTTTTTTGTTTCCAAGAAAGCCTGTTATAACAACTTTAAATTAATTCCAGGCATTTTTTTTCTTTCATTTCCATTTTAGTGACAAAGCTTTCATCTTTTAAAAGTTTTCTTATGTCAGGCCCAACGAAGACTCAGTTCTTGTGAATTTTCCCTTTTTAACATCCAACAGTAGTCTGCCATCATGTTAACATTCCACCGACCTTGGTATCTGCGTTCCATTTCTTTTATGCCTTGATGGAACCGTTCTTCTTGTACCTCACTTACAGCCGCTGGATTTTCGGGAAAGTAGTCCAGATGTGAGTGAAGGAAATGGACTTTGACACTCATGTTGCAGCTCAACATTTTGTAGTTTTGTATAGATTCAGCAACCAAAGTTTTGTAGTTTGGGTCTTTTTTGTTTCCAAGAAAGCCTGTTATAACAACTTTAAATTAATTCCAGGCATTGCAGCCCAACATTTTGTAGTGTTGTATCAATTCAGTAAAGTTTCGAAAGTTTTCTTATGTCAGGCCCAACGAAGACTCCTTCTTTTAGTTCAGCATCGGATAGACCAGAAAACTTTTCAGAAAGATACTTGAAACAATCTCCTTCTTTGTCTAATGCTTCCACAAATTGTTTTATTAGCCCCAATTTGATGTGGAGTGGTGGAAGTAAGATTTTTTTAGGATCCACTAAACTTTGTTTTTCAGCATTTTCAACTCCAGGAATAAGACCCTTTCTTATTGGCCACACCTGCTTGACATAGTGTTGTTTTCTGTCACCGCGATCACATTCACATAGGAAACATGGAAACTTAGTGTAACCACTTTGTTGACCTAGTAACATTGAAATAACTTTCAAATTTTCAAATGGTCCACTTATGATCAGAGTAGCTGAGCTTATTAAGAACAAATTCAAGATTTTCGTAGCATTCTTTCAAATGGACTGAAATGAGCACAGAAGCATATTGGTTCCCATTGTGAAGAAGTACATCTTTCAAACTTCTCTTTGATGAATCGATGAAAAGTCTTCATTTCTCTGGTTCATATGTCATGTTGAATATTTCCATGACGCCGGGTATATTGTTGCAGAAAACTAGGTCACCCTCTTGTGTAAAAAAAGGAACAAATTCCCTTTCTCTAAACCGGAGGCTAATATAATATGTCTTTCTTTAAGTCTAGACCCTAAAACTTCGGCTGGGTCCTTTGGGAGGCCCAGCGAGGGGGCAGACTGACACATACATGCCTTGTTCCAGTAGGAACTGGATTTTCCCAGTTAAGATTCGTTTTGTTATTGAAATAAATAGATTAAAACCGTATTTTATCTTAGATATACATTCACATTGTGTAGTAACTTGTTCGTCATAAAAGCTCCATAATTCAGACTCAATTTACCGCTTATATAGACTATATAATACAGAAACATCGAACCGATACCGAACCTAAAAACCTATTTAATAAGAAAATTTGTGTGAAATTTGTGACTTATCTATAGGTGATAGAATTTTTTTACTATTTTTTCCGTTGTCTGCACACAAAATATTGTTAAAAACACTAGTTAAATATCCTAGGAAAAATGCTACAAAATAATTAATATTGAAGTCATCCTAATGTTAGTGAAATTCCATTTTTTTATGAGTAAAAAAATACACAGGTCGAACCAAAACTCGGTTGAATGAGTTGGATTGGGTTTTTTGGAAACCTTCACAAGTAATAGTCAACAAGCCTACATTCGTATAACAAGTAATAGTTATTATCACCTCTGCTTAACTAATTCAATGAATATTTATTTTTAATACTTCGATACACCAATTAAAATAATGATCTCTAGTTCAATATTCATACATCACACTGGAAACAATGCTCATGGGATAACGATGTTTTTCTATCTAATAAACCAGAAATATCAACTTATATATCTATATTCAATAATATCTTACAAATAAATGGTACACAAGTTATATATTTACAGAATCTTAATTTAAAATTGTATTGTCCGTTCTCGTTTAGCTATTTCCGTATATTATTTCCATTCATATTCGATTTCCTTGGATATGTCTAATGAATCTCTTGTCCATTGTGTGTAGCATGATGTTTCTCGTGGGGATGTGCATTATGATGTCTCTCTTGCCCATGTTGTTCATGGTGAGAGTTATGATGGTGTTTCTCTTGGGGATGAGAGTTGTGGTGGTGTTTTTCCTGGGGGTGAGAATTGTGGTGGTGTTTCTCTTGGGGGTGGGAGTTGTGGTGGTGTGTCTCTTGACTATGAATACCGTGATTTCCGTGAATTTCGTGATGCCTTTCGTGTTCATTAGAAACTCCATGGTGTCCGTGATGCTTCTCATGTGGAGTTTGATGATTTCTTGAATGAGCAGCATGGTGTTTTTCGTGTTCTAAATAAACGTGGACCAACGTTAATTACAATGGATGAAGTGAACTGCAAAATTATATATCCATAACTATTTTAACTAACCTGGGATATATTTTATGTTGCCTTCGTGACTGTACTTGTTCACATGGTGAATGAAGTGACTACCGTGATGACGTTCTTCTGAATCCACGGGTATGCATGCATAAGGACATTTTGGCAATCCTCCTAGAAACAGCATGATATTTCTCTGATTTATCGACATACAAAACATGCAGATCATCTTTTACCCAATAAAATCAAAACAGATACTGGTAAAATAGTAGTATATTATAATGGAATCGTTCTTTTAAATTATTTAATTTACTAACATCTCTAAGAATTTCGTTTCGATAATTATAATACCCACTCATGAGTAAAACTGATATTTGAATATGATTCAGTATTGGTCGAAGCTTGAATTCGTGTTGTACTACCGACGATTAGATTTAGCTCTATAAGCATCTTAGAATTTTTTGAGTCTTACAGTATATCTTTCAGTTATACACACCAGGAGTGCTAGTCGGGCCAGATGAATTACCGGTTGTATCACTAGAAGGAGTAGTATCTGTAACACCACCAGAAGAGTTTCCAGTTGGGGTACCTGAAGGACTTCCAGTTGTGGCACCATCAGGAGAAGAGCTTCCAGTGGGGTTACCTGAAGAAGTGCTTCCAGTTGTATAATCACCAGGAGAAGAGGTTTCAGTGGAGTTACCCGAAGAAGGACTACTAGTTGTACCACCACCAGGAGAAGAGCTTCCAGTGGGGTTACTTGATGAAGTGCTTCCAGATGTATCGTCACCAGGAGAAGAACTTCCAGTGGGGTTACCTGAAGAAGTACTTCCCGTGGGGTTACCTGAAGAAGTGCTTCCAGTGAGGTTACCTGAAGAAGTGCTTCCAGTGGGGTTACCTGAAGAAGTGCTTTCAGTTGTATCATCTCCAGGTGAAGAACTTCCAGTAGGGGTACCTGAAGGACTTCCAGTTGTAGCACTACCAGGAGAGGAATTTCCAGTGGGGTTATCTGAAGAAGTGCTTCCAGTTGTATCATCACCAGGAGAAGAGCTTCCAGTGGAGTTACCCGAAGAAGGACTACCAGTTGTACCACCACCAGGAGAAGAGCTTCCAGTGGGGTTACTTGAAGAAGTGCTTCCAGTTGTATCATCACCAGGAGAAGAGCTTTCAGTGGAGTTACCCGAAGATGGACTACCAGTTGTACCACCACCAGGAGAAGAGCTTCCAGTGGGGTTATTCGAAGAAGTGCTACCAGTTATATCACTACCAGGAGAAGGTCCTCCAGTTGTTACTTCTGAAGGAGTACCAGTACCGTTGCCAGGAGAAGAAGGATTACCACTCGATGTAGTTGTTTCGTCGCCTTCAGTGGTTCCAGAGGTATTTCCACCTGGACTACTCGTGGATGAACCACTTGCAGGTGATGATCCACCTGGATTTTTCGTAGTTTCTTCTCCGGAACATGGGGTTGGACTTTCAGATCCAGGACCTCAAAAGGAAATGTTATATAAAAATATAATTCCAATCACCTTGGAATCGAAAGAACTTTGTGGAGATACCTAATGTTAAATTCAAAATGACGGCGAGATGATGATAGTTCACTGAAATATTCAAAAGTGCCGTCAACTTTAGGCAATGCAACGAAAAGACAAAGAAAGCTTGCTATGTTTTATGCGAATGTTAAGAAAAAAATCTGTTTCGAATCTGTTTTTCCATTAACCAGCCTTCACCTTCTTACGAATGACGGTACCTCCTTACGGTAATGCGGGGCTCTGCCGTGATTGACCTTCTTTCCCTAGCTACTCGTAGGACTTTTATGGACAGTAAACTCGAAAATTCTTTCTGACGCTGAGTCTATAGAGGAGATGGATGTCGACCTTACGACTCCAACTGACCTCCCTGTAAATTTAGATCATGAGCGAGTCTACAGAGGAGATAGATGTCAAATTAACGACTCCAACCGACATTCCTGTAAATTTAGTTCAGGAGCGAGAGTTTCTCAACTCCTCAACTCCTGATCCAATAACTGAACCTAAAAAAAGGTTTGGTGGTGCAGCCAGGAAACGACTTAGTCGTCTCCTCAAGAGCAGGGTACCTTATAAAACCGCATTGCACCAAATTCTTGAGCGGCGTACGCAGAATCTGTCTCAGGTAGAGGAACAAACTCCCCCATGAGTAAGTTAGCAAACGTTTGCGTTCAAGTGATGATTCACCAAAACCAGAGGCGAAAAAGCCCTGCACGGTTGAATCTAAGGCATCGTCAGGTGTAGCTGACGTGCAAAAACCCTCATATGGGAAGGTTGTCGCGGGTAGCAAGGTGGGAATTTTGCACCTTGACTATGCGACTACCTCATTAACGATGAAACAGCAGAACATATACTTTGTGCCTGCCTCACTGGGGATCGAATCAGGTTTTTAGAGTTCGACAGAGCCGTATCCTTACTATCTGACCTGAAAGACCACTCACCATACAGACAAATCGGCTTCGTTTAGAAGCTGGATTTATTTGGTCGAGTGTGAATAGGCGTGAGCCACAATGAACCTAACCTATCCTTATGACAGGGGTTTGTAAAGTATAAGGAACTGTTGAAATAGTCTTGCTGAAAATTCTGAAGCAATTATTTTTATTCATCTGAATCTGAGTTCGAAAGCAAGTAAAATAGAAATAGGATTACTTGAGGGAAAGTCAAACTGGTCAACATATGAATACAGGAGCAGCTTATTATAACGATATATTCAAGGCGGTTGTATGTATACAAGGTAGTTGAAGAAAAAATACCTTCACCAGAAAACACAACCCAACCTCAGGAAACAGAGTATGAGAAGGAGTTGAAAGACTTTATTTAAGCAGACAATAATGCATTACTGATCCTTAGAGTGAATAGTATTCAAGAAACTCTTACAAAAATGATGCGGTACACTACTGCTCGTGAAGTGTGGTAAGAGTTACATAGGATATATAATGATTATGTTGAGGAAAAAACATATAATACGTGCATGGAATTGTTCAGCTTCACACGACACGCAGAAGATGACATTACATCTCATATATCCAAACTCAAAAACCTTTGGAATATTCTGCAAAATGAAATCACCAAGGATAAAGTAGTAAATGGAAACACCTGTAAATGCGATCTACCAGAATTATGGCTGATTTGAAAGATTTTGGAGACTCTTCCTCTACAGTACTTTTCTTTCAAGTTGAGTTTAACTAACCAACTCTGTGCATATGAACAAGCTTTATCATCCAAATTCGAAGTCAAAGAGAAAGTGATGTTCTTGGAAAATAGAGGAAAGTTCAGAGGCAATCACAATATGTTTTGTGAATATTGTAAACGGAAAGGGCATACAATAAAACAGTATTTCAAATTGAATGTTGATAATGGTGCTCTAAACCATATCACCAATCAGAGTAATATGTTTCGAAAATATAAACTTTCAACAGTCGATGAAGATTCAATCCCAGCTCTAGTTTAAGGTATTTTGAGAGTAGAAGCTTGTGTGAATGGAATAATTTTCACCGTGGCAAAAATATGTGCAAGATCAAAACTCGGATAGCCTATTTATCTCTAGTGCTGAAAAATGTCAAAATGAATTTTCCGAAAAACTATTTTAGTTGGAACAAGAAACAGATATGGATGATTGTACAAACTGAATTTAAAATTCATCAAACCCAAAGTTTCTGTTAATGTGAATACAGTTTGCAATGACGACATATTTGAGCTGTACCACGAGGACTTAGATATAAAAACAAGAAGCATGTGAAATCCGTATATACTCGAACGTGAACTTGGTATATGTGTCAATTTGGCGGAGGATGCGTTTAAAATGCCCATATAATCAAGTTTTGTATTAGAGAAAGAGCTGATGTTTCTGCACAACGAATATATGCTGATGTATGTGGACGTTTTTGTCCATATAAGTCAGGTTGCTGGTATTATGTCCAGTTCAAAGATGATGTTAATAGATTCCGTTATGTCTTCTTCATCAAAGAAAACTCTGAGGTTGTAGAAAAGCTGAGGATTTTTCTCGCAGAGATTGAAGCTATAGGCTACAACGTTCGGGAATTCTTATCTGATTGAAGTGAAGAATTCTTAAATAGAGAAATAATTAAAGTTCTCAATAACTATAAAATACGATACAGAATCTTTATTTCCGATACTCCTCAGCAGAATGGCTGCATATAACGCGAGAATTGAACAGTGAATAAGACGACAAGAGCTTTGATGCATGCTAGCGAAGAACGAATGAGTTAAAGCTTTTGGACTGAATGATCAATACAGCTGTTTATATTTTGAACAGATCCGGTACATCTGGTATCAAAGACAAATCTTCCTTCGAAATATTGTTCGAAAAGAAGCCAAATATGAGGCATCTGAGAGTAATAGGCCATTAGTGTTGTGTATGTATGTGTTGTGTATGTGTGTGTTAAAAAGACTCTATTCAGAGGCAAGAGACTTCCATTAAAAAATTTAGTTTCAGTTTTCTCTATGTTTAGTTTGAAACCCAAGCCTTTCAAGGTGGAATTGGCCGCGGTGGTAGTGCGCCCGACTCACGATCGGAAGATCGTGGGTTCGATTCCCGCCTCGACCAGATATTTTTCTCGAGAGAATTTATCTGGTTGAAGCGGGGATGATTCTGCAACCGTGTTAGGAATCACACGTTAAAAGGTAAGACTTCGTTAGTCCTTAGCTCGCACAAGTTTCTCAACTTCTGAGAGTTGTCGTTCGTATGAGGGGGACAGCTGATTAACGGAAAAACAGATTTTAAACAGATTACTGCTATGCACATATACCAAAAAGATGTCGATAGAAAATGGATAAAAATGTTATGAAAGCAGCACTTACTGGATATGATATACTGTGAGAAATCTAAGAGGCTGATAAGATCTCGTGATATAATTTTTCACGAAGATAAACCATTTAATTCTAATATGCCAAGAGTACCTTCTACTGATGAAAATGAGACGTTAGATGTTTCTCAAGAAGAAGACAAATCAGTAGACACAGATACTGAGAATACACCAGATATCTCTGGCTCCCAATCTGAAGAGAGAGAAGACCAACTTCTAGAGGATGAGAACATTGTGATCAAAAGGCAGCTAAGAGATAGACATGAAATCAAAAAGCCATTTCGTTTCGATGATTATGCCTTAGTTGTTGCTAGTGCTAGTGCTGATAGGATAGCGATTATATGTGTTCACAAAAGGCATCTGAATGTAGATGGTTTTATAAAAAAAATCAAGCCAGATTGATTATCGAAGGTTATTTACAAAGAAAGTGTGAAAACTACGATGAAAAATTCAGCCATGTAGCAGAAGGTAGTACGATAAGAACTTTTCTGAGTATTGCTGCTAGTAGACTCTCACTCAGTTTAATATTACAACTGCATTCTTCTATGGCAAACTTGATGAAGAGGTTTATATGAAGCAACCTGAAGGACATGAGGATAGTACTGATCGAGTATGTCGGCTTCAGAAAAGTTTATTTGGAATCAAGCAAGTATCAAAATGTTGGAATAAGCGATTTCACGATATTGTGAAGAAACTTAATTTTCAGCAAAGTAATGCAAATCCATGTTTATACATAAAAAAACATACGAGTGATATGATAATCGTGGTCCTACACGTTGATGATGGGTTACTTGCAACAACTAATCATTCTTTGAAGAATAAAATCTTGCAAAACTTGCAGAATTATTTCAAAATGACAGCGAAATCTGATTCCTAGGATCAGGAATCAAAACTGAAAACGATGGTTCATTTAATCAATTTAATCAAGCAGCTTAAACGAGAAAAATATTAGAACGCTTTGGTATGGAAGATTATTAACTCGTCTCAACATACATTGCGAAAAATCGTATTCAATCAGAGAACGAATTCGAAATGGATTTGAATACAACTTTTCTATACAAAGAGGCAGTTGGAGCTCTTATGTATCTAATGACAGGTACAAGACCGCAGCCATTGCTTATGCAATCAGTGTTGTTTCAAGATCCTTAAACGACTCCAGCAATCATTATTGTATCCAAGTAAAACGAATACTTCGAACGAATATTTCCCGAACATGTGTTATTTGTAAGTATGCTAGCGGTGTGATATCTTGACTCAGTCAACAACAAACCTCAGTAGCTATTTCCTCAATAGAATCTGAGAATATCATAAAAGTACTGAACATATTCATATAAGATATTTTTTTCTGAGGGAAGTGGTCTTGAACGGAGGTATTTCAACCATAAGAATGGCATCAGAATACTAAGTGGCAGATACACTTACCAACCCGCTGTTCAAACGAAGAATAAACATTTAACGACAAACAATGAGATTGAACGAATTATTCGATGAGAGAGGGTACACATTGTATATGCTTATAAGTTGTTAATAGATTTTGACGTAATGAATGATTTGAGTGGTCTCAAGAATTTACTTGAGATACTTCCTCTATTTCAGGGTTTCTCAAACTTTCTGTTCAACGTACCCCTATTAGACTTTCCAGACCACAGCGAACCCCTTGAAAAACTAGCTATTGATAGGTATATTATTAAAACCTAATACAGTTGATACCTATGTTCAGCATTATATAGAACAAATAAGGTATTTTTTTGCCTCAGGGTCTCGAGTTTGATTTCCATGTTTGGCAAAGTATTGGGCATTTTTCTGTTTTTAGAAAGTTTTTAGTAGTAGCAGGGAGTATGTAACCGTACTCGGTGTATGGCAATGGGCTCGCCCCTTCAACATGGGACTGATAACATTGCAAAAAGTGGGTATTACATTCAATGTGTCACCTATGCCTAGCGGCCTAGCCCTTCGGGGAATAAGAGGCCCACGGTCACGTTTGATTTCATGACTTTATCGCGCTATTTGCGAGTACTTCTGAACATATCACACATTGTGGCTCTGGGTTTTGAGATTCTTCTTTGCACACAAATCCAATTTTCAAATAGTTTTCGTCATATTTTTTCGTTTTGGTGATGAAATGTGTTTCTGAGATTCGCTCGTTTTCACAAAATTATTGTTTGAAATAAAACTTTAATCTGAAGTAGAATAGGACTCGACGTATTTTGTACATTTTGGGAACTGATTGACAAATATTGACTTTTGGGACATTTTATACGCGATGAAGCCGTTTTTTACTAGGCACCTTAGCCGCCGCCATTACGTATACTCAATCGCGTACCCCTTATGAATCAACTACGTACCCCCAGTGGAACGTGTACCCCACGGAACCTTGCTCTATTTCGAAAGTTTCGATTTTTGAACGTTGTCGTTCGTAGGAGGCCGTATGTTTCACCAATTTGTATTGATATCTTTCACGCCTTGATAACACTGACAAGTCTAATTAGCTAAAAATATATTCTGCAGTTTTCCAACCATTTTCCTTTTTTGGGTGATTGCTCATTATTATTTATTCTTCGATTTATACTGATCATACCCGTTAACATCTTTCAGTAGTTATATTCCGGACCCGAATGTCATACAGGTAGTTATAGTTTTCTGCGTGAACATGTTAGTCATTTCCGACGAATGAAATCAATTGAAACCAGAATGCGCTTGGCTGCACCGCGCTGAATTACCATAAATATAGATTCAACATATATATGGATATATTATATGACGTACAGTTTTTTGGGGTTGCAATCAACTTTTGTTCTTATCAAGCTTTCGGTGGTGCTTATCACTTTCCCCAGGATAACTGAAATATATTATACAACTATATTGTTTTTTCTACCAAAAAGTGATCTACCTTATAACGAGAGATTGAAAAAGCATTTAAGTGCTTTTACAAATCCTACAAATTTTTTGAAGGAAATGACCGACAGTGATAACAATTTTAGGGAGAAAAATTTTGATTAGAAGCATATTTGAATTTTTTCTTTTTCATATTTATAATATACGAGAGTCGTGAAAATAGGTGTTTTTTTCCATTCTTGCAATTAGCTATACTATACTGATAAGGTCCAACCGAAATATGTGCCCTTATATTTTGCTTTTTTCTGACTGGTAATGTTCGATACAATTTCCTTTCGGATTTATGTGAAAGCACTCGATGACGTGAATAAATCTATATATGAAAATATAATTGAGTGAATGAATTGAATAAGTGAATAATTTCACACATTCATCAAGAAGTTATGAAAATGCAATTTACAATATAAATTGAAGTCTAGAAAATTGATTTTTACCTGTAGGTATAGTAACTGTTGTTGGTCCTGATGATGTCACACCTAAAAAGATATATGTAAATACAATTATTACATAAAGACACTCGATAATTAACATAAATCTATATATGAAAATATAACTGAGTGGATGAATTTTATAGCTGACAAGTCTTAAAAATACAATACTCAATATAAATTGAAGTTTGGAATTTTGATTTTTACCTGTAGTTCCAGTAACTTTTGTTCTGATGATGTCACACCTATTGTATTGTAAATACAATTATTAAATTAAAGACATGCGATAACTAACTATATATGAAAATATAATTGATTGGATGAATTTTATAGCTGAATAATTTCACACATTCATCGACAAGTCTTAAAAATACAATACTTATTATAAATTGAAGTTTGGTATATTGATTTGTTACCTGTAGGTCCAGTATCTTTTGTTGGTCCTGATGATGTCACACCTAAAGAAATATATGTAAATACAATTATTGAATTAAAGACACTCGATAACTTACATAAATCTATATATGAAAATATAACTGAGTGGATGAGTTTTATAGATGAATAATTTTACACAATCATCGACAAGTGTTAAAAATACATTCAATACTTAATATAAATTGAAATTTGGGATATTGATTTTTACCTGTAGGTCCAGTAACTTTTGTTGATCCTGATGATGTCACACCTAAAGAAATATATATAAATATAATTGTTTAATTGAAAACACTCTATGACTTGAATGAACAAATGATTAACTTTATAACTGAATGATTTCACACATTTATCGATAACTCATGAAAATATAATATAAATTTACGAATTCACGATATTGATTTTTACCTGTAGGTTCAGTAACTTTTGTTGGTCCTGATGATGTCACACCTGAAAAAATATATGTAAATAAAATTAAGTAAACTCCGTGAATTATGAAGTTAACAGAAAATTCTTAAGACTATAGTAGCAAATATTTCCCGAACTCAATTGATCTTTGAATATTCGAAACATTTCTTAAAAATGATGTGGAGTTATATTGATTCAAATTGAAAGGGGTACATCCCCTTCTTCTTCCAAAGAAAGGAAGAAAGCAATTGATTTTAAAATAAACTCTACAAATATGTGTAGATCGTGCAAAGAAGTAACTTTCAGACACAAACTGGAGAGGGCTTTTTCTTCCAGGAAAGGTATGTGAATATAATTGAGCCCATGAACTATATGAGTGAAGAAATTGATCGAACAGTCAAAAAACGCAATGGTTCATATTTGTTGATTGGAACATTTTTAATTAAATGGAGAAATAATACATGAATAATGATGCATAGCTTTTTATTGCGAAAAGGTTATTCAAAAATAATTTATTTTATTATGAAATACCAAAAATGAGATGACAATTAAAGATTAAAGGTAACGTTTGTTTTAAAGCGAATAAGTGAAAACTTTATATTAACTATATTCAGTGTTCTATTGTGATTTGATTTAGTGAAATGTTGTTAAAATCGTATTAACTGACAATCAATGAATGCGATTGTTTCTTTTTTTTACTTGACCTTTATTGTAATATGAAGAACTACCCCAGGAAATTGAATGGGGCATATTTTCAGGAAAGATTAGTTTTTGGGGAATACTAGTTTCAGCTTTTTACTACTCCATCTTCATACATACAAAAAATTTCAAAGGAAAAAAGAAAGCAATAAAATCTTCATAAAGATGTGTATAATGCATATGAGTTACCTTCAAATACAAACTGGAAGAAGAAACCTCCTCGAAACAATTACTTCCATATAAAACATTGGATTACATGAAAAAAAAACTTTCGAAAAAACTACTTCAAGATGAATATTGAATTATAAAATAACAATTGAAATATCTTTGATACCATCAAATATATAATAAAAAGAGGCATAATTTTTGTTTGTTCACAGTGACAGTCTTTACAAATTCTTATACTTTTGTATAGATGCCACTCTTTATGAAAAATTCAGCTCTTAATGTAAGTAAAACATAGATAAATTCAAACCAGTCAGAAGAGAATATCATTTCCAAATGTCTCGAAACTCAAATTGAATGTTTGGGTATGAATGAAAATGAATGGAAGAGCAAGGTCTGCTCATGTTGCGATTTCTCTGTAGCATGGTCAGAACCTTGAACGGAATATTGTTGGAATAATGAAAGAAGTCTCAATGCTCTATTTTTGCATTGTAAATTGCAGACAATCTGCAAGCTGCTAATATCTCCATAATGATAAAGCATTGAATTTGCAACCATGTAAATCTTACGAAACTTCAATTTTTTCCTGATATGACCATATTTTTGTTGCAAGTTGTGTTCGCATAATCGATTGAGGTTTTTCAAATTATAAAATAATCACAAAAATTCTAATTCTTTGTTACAATCGAAAAAATATTGGATTAACAACTTCATAGGCAGAAGAAAAATTGAATTTATTTATACATATTAATTATTTTGCATTTTGAATCTTCAAAAAAATTGCAAAAGTTCTTCTAGCTGCACTGAGCACTTTGACCCATTATTTTACGTGATGCAAAAGATTTGCAACCGTCACCGCCCAAGAAACAACTTACAGAACTTTCGTTGATTTTCAACTTGTTTATACTGCTTGTACCGTCTATGTAAGTATAGTCGCTACAAAATATACATATAATAATACTATTTGTAGCAAAATGATATATATGAGGATACTACTTTTTCGTGCTAAATTATTGATTTTCATTAAAATCCAAGCTGGAAAATTTAAATGTTTCCTTATTAGATTCTTCATGAGAACAATAGGTAATTAAAGAAAATTTCACGAGAAAAATTTGTAGAGCACTACAAACTATCTAATACAGACGTTGAGCTGCAATATGGTAAGTACGAAATGAAAAGCTATAGATTGACCAAAAATCAATTTTGCTCTATTTCAACTTGAAAAAAAAAACTATTTCAACTATTGCAGAAAGTTAAAAGCCTAGAGCGTACTTTCCCAATGAATATATTTTTTTTCTTATGACACACTGATTTTGATATACTATAGTACTTTTCATTTTTGTTATCTGATAAATATTTGTGAATGTAAGTTTTTTCAATTTTTGACAAAGCAGTATTGATAGTGTGATAAATTATAAAAAAATTGAGGATTTGAGTATTTCTTATAAATTCACGAGTCACGGGGTTCCATATTATAAACTAGTAAGGAATTAATTATAACGCCACCACTGAGTTGTTGACCAAATTTGGAAATCGAATACTTCTTCTAAGCGTGCAAATTACTGGAAACAATGTAAATAAAAACGTCTATATTTGTAACCTCAATGGAAATCTTTTGTAATTTTTTCAAAATCTATTCTGAGGAAAAACCAGTTTAAATAAAGAAGGAAACTTTCCGTTTGACATAGAATGATGTATTCATATGCAGAAACATACAATTCTTTAATTTTTAAACTTTTTTGAAAAATAGTGATATAATTACATTTATGTGTGAAACGGATATTTGTTTTTTTTATTTACAAATTTATTATGGGATCTCAATTGCTTTTTCCTTCAACTTCACTGTTCGCATTCTTTTCACACAAAAAATGCAAAATTCATTCAATTCAGATTTTTAATGATTTCCTTTAAAAAAGGTGACGAAATCAGACTGAGCATCATTTGAATGTATTGTTTCATTTGACCGTCATTTCAAATTTGCATTTATTATTAAATTTTCAATTTTCAAAAAGCAGTTTACGTTTGAGACGTTACCATAAATGTGTAGTAACCTCTGATAGATATAATCTATAATATAACACTGAGAAAAATGTTCTTGAGTCGCTTTAATCGATTTTCTCCGCTATTTGCGAACCCTGTCATGTTCAATTATATCTTTATATAATTTATGATGAAAAGGCTATTGCAATTGATATTTGAATCAATATTATGTTCGGATAGTTCTTCAGATAGAAAACAAATGAACCCATTTTTATTTTGAATGTTTCCTAATGGTTTCTCTTTGTTTGTTTTTAGCGGCATGTGAATGAATGATCGATTGACTTCTCTCAGATGGTTCAGATCCTTCTTATATTTTTTTATAGTTCTCGAGATACTTCAATTTTCATCTAACTAAAGAACATTATGATTTGAATAGCAAATTCTCAAGAAATGGTGGCTTATATAAAAAGTATAGGACCATTTCTGCAAATAATTTGATAGTGTACAAAAGAGGTGATAACTTATAGCGTAAGTTTGATAGTTTCGGATGAGTTTTCTGTACCTTTGACTTTCATAAAAATATCTCCTAAAAATACATCCCTTTCGAAACAAAAGAAATGTTTCGCTCAAACTTATTCATTTGCTGATTGTTTGTTATGATAAAATGGACATCACGTTCAAAACCCCATGGGCTCCAACTTTTTCAGCAACGAAATATCATTGAAAGGTAGGAAGGAAGATTATATTTTCAAAATTATCTACATATATGTTAACACAAATCGTCAATAATAGGAACGACTTCTAGATTTCTGCTGAAGAGAGACAACATTCAGTATAAAGTACTGAGTAGATGATTTTTTTTATTGTCTAAACCTAATTTTGAATACTGATTTTTTGTGATACTTACCTGTGGTTGGTGTAGAGCCATTTGTTGTACCACCTGGTTCGGAAGCTACAAAAATATTCAGAATTGAATGAGTGAACTTCATAATACCATATAGGTTAAAAAATACTTACGTTTACATGTTATATGACAATGGCCGCCTTTGGCTCGGGTGCTTATGTGTCGAAAATTGGTACCTAGAAAATGTTGCTTGGGAACTAAACAAAACTACATGCACTAATAATATATTAGAATTATGATATGACATTTAGTTATACCATATATTCAACAGAATACAAATGACTCGATATATCCCATGAGCATTGACAATAGAGAGAAAAATTCGTATTTTCGATTTGTTCTTCTTTTGAGTGAGGCGTCCGATGTCTTTCCCTTATTATTTACGAATACAACTACTCGTTATATAAAAGAGAAATAATCGCAAAGAGAGTACTTTAATTATATTCTTTCTAGCATCTATTTAGCAGTGGAGATGGTGGTGACTTTGAGGAATTGAGGAACATTCCACTCAATACAATTGAAATGATTCATCATGAACATTTTATATACTTGATTATTTACAAATAACCATTTTTATTCAATAAAAAGTCACTTATAATTGTCATTTATAATTATCGATCGCTAACAAAATAATTGGTAAATATTTGTATACGTATATAACCAATTTTGATTTCGATTGAGTTTCTCTCATTTGCACAGTCGAAAAAGTGAACTTTCATTTTGATTTCTTCTAAACCTTTATGAGACATGATTTTCATGTTCAATCAGTTAGTATCTTTTCATGATTGCCCAAGATATAGTAAAGAAACAGCTATTCTAATGGTAGTTAATACAAATTACACAATCAAAAATTATTTTTTGCGGAAACTGATGTTACTTCTACAATTTAAATTATGTTTCAAAATTATAACATACTGTAGTTTCAAGAGGTTAGACGAGTTATAACTTGTATACGGCGTTTTTCCCACTAAAAAATATAGAAATTTGAATTGTCTTAAATTTTGACTCATTTAGCATTTATACAGATGGATGAATAAGATATATTGAAACCTGTTGCCCTTCATGAAGCAATTTATTGAATTTGATTTAAAACTAACTTTGAATATTGGATCAGTGGACGAAATCTGAAATTTGAAAGTTGTATTACCTACCCTTCAGACTCGAAACTACTTGTAGTATAATGAGTAGTATAAGTCTGCATTTGAATTTGTTATATGATAATGAACAATAAAAGTACCTATTCAGACTTAAAAATAATTTAAAATTTTTTTGAAATCTCATAAGAAATGAAAGATTGACAAATGCATTTTTTTCCTAGGGATGTGAACGGTCATATTCTGATAAAAGAAAAGTATTCTGATTTTGTTGTATGTGTATATATTGGAAATGAAGGCATGCTAGCTTTACATGAAGTAATAATTCTGAGGTCGTGAGTTGGAAATTATTAAATGAAAAATAATAATAAATAATTTTCCAATATATAAAAATAATAATATTGCTGGTACTGTCACTAATAAAAAAGTAATTGTTTCACTCCTTCAATTTTTTCAGATTTTGTTTTTTTGATGTTTTGGGTACGATGAAATTTTCCAAAATTTCAATTAAACTGGGAATATTTCTATTCTATAAGTCTGTATTATAAATATGATATAATATTATAACTGAAACAATTACATATATGTGTACCTGTTAGAAAAAAGTGACTTACCTGCAAAGGAAACCGATGAATGAATTAAAAAACAAAAAACGAACGCTACCCTAATTTCCATGTTGGTTTGCTCTGAGCTAACTTCTTCCCAGTTAGCAGCTGAAATTAGATAGTAACTGTCTTTGTTAATCCAATAGTTTTATACCTTGTTTCGGAATGTTAGTTATCAAGTTTTATTCATTCCTGAGATAGTTCATATTTAAATTCAAAGTGTTTCAGGTATACGAGGGTAGAAATATCATAACAATTTGGAATACATAATTCATGCTACCATTATGAAAAGTAACGAAAAACGTTTTCAAAATTTAGGTACTATATTTTTCCGGAATAGACTATTTCAGTTTTTTCATGGATATGCACAAGTGCTATCGGAAAATCCTTCTGTTTCTGATATAAACATTGCAATGGGGAATCAAGCGGGCTGAGTGAAAACTTCACGCGATAGTATCAAGGTTATGATTTTTTCTCTTGACATGTTTAGGGGCGGAGTGACGTATACAGGGTGTATCAACAAGAAGTTGGTGGACGATAGCTGACATTGTAAAGATATCAAAAGAACGTGTTGACTTTATATTGCATGACCTTCTGACTATTAGGAAACTATGTTGAAAGTGGGTGCCGCGCGAGCTCACTGTTGACCAAAAATATATATATTTTGATAATTCTGAGCAGTGTTTGGCCATGTTTAAATTTAACAAATAGGAATTTTTGCGTCGATATGTGACAATGGAAGAAAACATGAATCCATCACTTCACTACGGAATCAAAAGGATCGTCATCTGAGTGAAGAGCAACTGGTGAACCTCGTCCAAATCGCCCGAAAGCACAATAATCGGCTGGAAAAGATATGGCCCCGTTATTTTGGAATGTGCATGCTGTTATATTCATCGACTTTCTTGAGATGGGAAATACCATCAACAGTGAATATTACATAGCGTTATTGGAGTGTTTGAAGGTCGAAATTGCAAAGAAACGACCGCATGTGGCAAAAAAATATGTTTCATAAAGACAACGCACCGTGCCACAAGTCAATCAAAACAATGGCAAAACTCCCACATCCACCGTATTCGCCAGATTTGCCTTCCAGCGACTACTGGCTGTTTGCAGACCTCAAAAAAATGCACACCGATAAGAAATTTTGCTCGAATGAAGAGATTATTGCTGAAACTGAGGCCTATTTTGGGGCAAAAGATAAATCGTTCTACAAAAATGGTATTGAAATGTTAGGGCGGCGCTGGAATATTTGTGTGGCTCTTGATGGAGATACGGTTATTGAATAAAGCCAATTTTGAACAAAAAATACGTGTTTTCTTTTTAGGCCCTAGATTTTTCAGCACAGGTGTTATGATGAGTCCACTTTCAACTTTAATGGCAAGGTAAATATCCATAATACGCTAGGTACTCAACAGAAAACTCATATTGGATGAGAGGAGTCGATAACTAAACAGATGGTTTATAAATGTTTGGAAGGGCCTAATTGGTGATCAAGTCATAGTACCATATTTCTTTGATGATTCTTTGAATGAAAAAATTCATAGATAATTCCTCCTAAATGATTTATCAAATTTGTTGGAGGATGTACCGATTGACACAAGACATAGGTTTTATTACCAACATGATAAGGATATGATGCTTGGGTTTTCGTAGCATTGAATTCTTTTTGGTTTCTGTCAGCCCAGGTTGAAATCTTTTTCATCTTTTCATTGAGATATAAAGCCTCTTGTTTTAGTCAAAGATATGAATTGACAGCTGATATTCCGGCATCCAAATAGAATAAATAAACAAGTGTACTATAGTTAGCAAGAAAAAATAAATGACAAACAACAACTAAAGAACAAATATTAGGTTTTTGTGAAACAAAGTTTTAGGCTTTCTACTACTCCTTCTTGGTACAAAACAATGTGGGAATCTTCCAAAGAAAAGAAGGAAGCAATCAATTTCAAAAGAAGTAACTCTGTACACAGTTGTGTAGATCATGAAGAAAAGTAACTTACAGACACAAACTCGAAGAAAAAGCCCTCTTGAAATAGCTATACGAAAGAAAAATTCATTCGAAACTTTTATATGAATACTGAATTATTCAATAAACACTTTTCTCTACTCAGTTTGTGTTCCAAACTTTTGTTATGGAATTGAATTAGATATAATTCACATGACTTCTACAGAGTATACTAAATGAAAGGTGAAAATTTCACTTACATGAAACACTGTCATCTTCACTGGTAGACATCGATGTTTCGCTGTAAGACACTTGCCTTAGGGCTCTTCACTACCAGTTTGGATAATATCATAAGAGAATTCATAAATTACGATTTTTATGTCACGGAATGAGTTTGATCTACTTATGTCATCGATAACATCGTAATGACATTCATTCATGTATTTAATTAAATCTCAACCAATAGGAATCTTGTTTAAAAATATAACCCTTTCAATTCCAAGATTAGGTATTTTGTTTTGGTTCTCATTTATGGAATCTGTTAGAGGAGTGTTCTGTAACTGTAGTATTCTGTGCATTGCTTCTGCGTTAATTTAGAAAGTGCTTCAATAGTTCGAGATATAAAACCAAAACAAATATGTGTGTCGCTTGCTCTCACAGTGATTGGGCCATTTTGAATTTGTCGAAATGAGTATTTCCTTGGTAATGCATGATGATGATGATATTTTCGTGGCATATAAATACAATAGTATATAATGTGTCGTTTGATTATGTAGTTATTAAAGTTATTCAGTTATTTCTACAAAACATATCTTTGGAGTTAGTTGATACATAGCAAATGTAGCAGTGCAACAAGCTGTCACAGAAACTTCTTCAGTTCAATTATTTAAAAAGAAAACATTTTTATGGCCATAAAATATAACATGTGCTGGCTAACTATTATCCAGTATTTCAGAGTAGAATATTTATTATTTTGACATTTTAATTATTGAATGGTCTTACAAATAAGTGAGAATTTTTCAATATTCTTATTTTCGTTTCAGAAACGAGGAACTAAAGAAAAACAAAAGCTTCAGAAGAAGTAATAAATAATGAGCCATATCGCATCGTTGCTGAAGAATTTACGATAAAATACAAACAAATAGTCACTTGAGTTATAATTTGAATTATGCTGATAGTATTTCTTCTTGTAGTCACCCAAAATCTGGAATCGGTTAGTTATGTGAGAAACAATCAATTTTTTTCTGACGAAGTGCTCAAGAAATATTTAATTATTTAAGTCAAATGTACCTATTGGGTTGTTTCAATGTAACGTGTTTTTGCAGCTCTCTATATGAATAAATATTCATCTTACTGTGTCGTGGTGTATACTGATTGATAGAGAATTTGGACTCTTTACATTGATGATATTCATTTCCTTCCAACTGTTTTTTGACCCTTCTAAGCTTACTACTAAATGATATCGTTAGGCGATTTTCGGCCAATTCTTCTCTACAAATTCAAATTGAACCAAAGAACTGTCGAAACAGCCCTAAAAATTAACCAGGCATTTGGCAATGATAGAGTTAATGAATGCACTGTCCGACTTTGGTTTGCGAAATTTCGTTTTTTTAGATGTTGGACTCGAAGATAAGCCCCGAAGTGGTCGACCTACAGTAATCCAAGACAAGGATTTGAGAACCCTGGTGGAGACTGATTCATTAGGATAGCGAAAGAACTGGCCGTCAGCTCCCATGCGGTTTTTGATGGTTTGAAACGTATTGGAGAGGATAAATTCGTCACGTGTGATGAAAAGTGGATCATCTACGACAATAGGAGACGTTCAGGATTGTGTTTGGACATCGATGAGCCAGGCAGGCGCTTTCCAAAGACGAAAACCCACCAAAGAAGACTGTATGGTGGTTAGCGGCGGATGTGATTCACGGTAATTTTCTGCAACTGTGTAAACTATCACAATAGAGTCCTATCGTGAGAAAATCGACGAAATGTACCGAAAATTCCAACAGCAGCATCTGGCACTGGTCAACAGAAGAGGTCCGATTCTGCCCCCGTCGGCACGTTTCACAAATCACTGTCCGAAAATCAAACGAATTGAGCGTCAAAGTTCTGCCTCACCAACCAGACCTCTCGCCAACGGACTACCATCTCTTCAAGTACTTCGATATCAAAGCTTGGCTTTACAACTAACCGCCTTGAGGAGCCTCGAAATTTTGACTTCAATCCCGAAATTTCGACTTTAATCCCAAAATTTCGATTTTAAATTCAAAATTTCGATTTTATTCTCCAAATTACCTGTTTAAAATCACTTCCTTCCGTACGTTTCACAAATCACCGTCCGAAAACAAACGAATTGAGCGTCAAAGTTCTGCCTCACACACCATACTTCCCAGACCAATTCACCAATCAAGACCAGCCTTCGGCGACTTCATCGAATCCCGAGCACACAATTTTAATTCTAAAAGAATTATAGGACTTGTATTGAGTTGACAAAAATATATTGTTCCAAATTGCGCTCATTTCGATTCAATTGAATGATCATTCACTGATATATTACAATTTGAAGTGAACTCATGAAAACGGACAAAACTTTTGAAACAACATAACACGTAGGTGTGTCCACAAAAGGATTCGGGTCTTTGGCGTTTCAATATGCTGACAGAAACAAAATGAAAGTGCATACATCGTGGAAGATAAACATCATGGATTCTGAAGTTCAGCTTATTGTCTTAGACGTCAATGAAAATTAGCAACTCGAAGTGCTGAAGCTAGAAGTTTTGGCTGGGCAACCAGCTAAAACAAAACAAATGTTGACAACTTTTCGATTTTCTGTAGCATGTTTCATTGAGATATAAATTTGAATTTCAAAATACTAACAATATTGATGCAGCATCCCCATAGAATAATAGCCAATTATTTTCTGATTAGTAGTGAATGGAAGTTGAAATCCTATCTTCCAAATTCGTATTTTCCAGAGAAAAAATATAGATTCCATAGTGTATACGATGCAATGCCTGGATGAATATGTACTGCATATCCGTCGGATTAGGTGACGGAAAACGATTTTCATAAATTGAAAGAGGTATATTTTCAGACTTAAAGCACTTAAAGCCATTATTTGACAGACACACCCAATAAGTAGGAACTAGAAAGAGAACAATAAATTAAAAAATAAGAATCAAAACAAAAAGTAAAGCGTTGGGATACAAAATATTCAAACAAGCGATTCATTTGACAGGACAAGCGGGGTATGTAGATGTGCATTACAATTATAAAATAATCTGAAGAACAAAAATCGATGTTTTTTATACTAGACGGGTTTTTATTGTTCTTATGGCCGTATCTGTAACAACCAACCCCGCGATCCTTCCCCAACGCAGTTAATTACATTTGCTCATCGTTTATGCTAGACTTATCGAACGCTCGAGATTAGCATTTTTGTGAAGTAACACTTCCCGAGACATTTTTTGAATGGATATATTTTGATCATTCCCATATTAATTTCAATTTAAGAGCCACCGGTAAACATCTGTTTCATCCTATTGGGCATCGTCAGTACCTGGCAGGCGGTCCTAGATTGAAGACAAAATGTGAATAAAAAAGAAAAGTACTCAATAAAATAACTGCGTGAACGCAAAACGGAACCAGACATAAATGAAACCAGCTATTGGTGTGACACCCAAGTCAACTTTTTATGTCAGTGTTGGTGGTTTGACTATTTGCGGTAGTAGAAACTTGGGAAGCTGACCTGGAATGCTATCGGAAAACTAATCCACATGTATCTAGAAATGATATGAAATCGAGAAAGGATAAGGCAGTCATATAATTCCATGAACCAAACCGTTATTTTAACACCTCGACACGTGTTTTGATCTTTCTTTTGAAGATGATCACTTGGTAATCGAAACACCTGTCGATGTGTTAAAATAACGGGTTCGTGTTGAAAAAAAAACTCCAGTAATATTCATAGATGTGTATGTCAACTTCAATTGGATCAGAGCCTGTATTCATTTGTGTGTTTTGTCAATAAGAATTATATTCTTTCGACAATAAAGTACATTCTGATTATGTTTTTACGATTAGTTGCCTTGCAGTGAAAGCTGCAGTGAAAGATTATGAATGAATTTCGTTGGCGGTCGATATCGAAGCTTAGATTTGCAACTAACCGTCTTGAGGAGCCTTTAAATTTCGACTTCAATCCCGAAATTTCGACTTTAATCCCAAAATTTCGACTTTAAATTCGAAATAACGACTTTATTCTCCAAATTACCTGTTTATAGTCGCTTCCGTAAGCGCAAAATTTGAAATCAATCAATAAAGAAAAACCATACAACTATAATGGCTACCGTTGCTTAATAAATACAAAGCTTGTTGTATCGATTTAATTCTCTTTCAACCATTATAGCGTTTTCAAAGGTGAGGAATAATGGAAGAAATGAGTATATGACAATCAAACTGGTATATCAAAATTCACACTAGATGTACTCATTTCGAATGGCATATTGACTTGAGTACATATTGATAAACGAAGGTAGTTCAAGCGAAATTGGTATTTTTTGAACGATCCCCGTATTTTTTTGCTATCGAAATAGCAGTTCATGTGGTAGTCTAAATATGATATTTTTCAAAATTCCGGAATGTATTCAGAAATTCACCTATTTTATCTTCAATACTGCATAAGTTATTCATACGAATTGTTTACATAGTTCTGTATTCAATAATCTCAACTATGTTATCCTGGAATTGAAAAGGGAATAATTTGAAAACATTAAATTGTTGATTATATTATATTTCGTTATAGTCAACTTCATCACTTCAAACTTAATTTTATGCCACACTACGAAACTCTAGCTAACATTAAATTATTTTTCTGAAATTTAATTTTACCAAAACTAACAGGTTTTTTTCTTTTCTTCAATTTTTCTCTCGATATATCAGAAAACGGTCTTATGAAGAAGTAGTAGATCACTTCAACAAAACTCAAAATACTGGCTCCAAGAAATAGCGATATTGCTCCTCCCATTGACACTGAAAGTAAATATATTAATTATACATTTCAAAAATTAAAGCTGGAAACTACAGAGTATTCATCTTAGGAAACGTTCAATAAAAAAGCCATAGGTTCAAATTTTATTTTTCTAATTTCAGGAGAGCATTGCGATGTTTGCGTTGCTTTTTGAGACCATGCAATAAAACTTTTCACATAACAATTTCTAGTTTTTCGGTTTCTAACGATGATGTATCAACTCATTCAAAATCGAAATATTGAAAAAGACCACATACATTCAATATATTGCTTTGCTGATCACAGCAAAGTGATACAAGGTGTAACTGAATAAGTGTAAAACATTTAAGGAGGTGATTCTTCATCGAAAAAAAGATAGGATCTTTCATATAAAGAAACTTCATTGGAACATTCCTTGTTAAAATACAGCCCCTTAAAGGGGGTACTTAAAATTTGTATAACAATTTTTTTCACAAGCACTGAAAAAGTTACAATATTGAAATTACCCTGACGTTTTGTACCTACTACCAAAAAGACACTTAGTGAGTAATTTATTTGGTTTACCCCATAGTTGTAAGGGGTGGAAAACGCAACCCCTAAAATTTATTTCCAATGTAACTTTTTGTCTTATTATTTGTTTACCATTTAAAAATGTATTTCCAATAGCCTGTTTCATTCTAAACAAAAAATGTCTCCTGGGTTTTCTGCCCAAAATAAACCAGTTCGCAGCAAAATAGTATATTGTAAAACAAGTGCGTGAAATCGACTTTTTTACACAAGCGTGGAATTTGCGACACGAGCCCTCAGGCGAGTGTCGCAAACAACGCGAGTGTAAAAAAGTCTTCTCGCACATGTTGCACACTATACTTTTTCTACGAACATACAGAGAAAATTAGGCACCATTAGTTCAAAGAGCTTTATTGAATTTCAGAATAATTAGTAAGTAAAATTAACAATTAATTCTTATACTGAGATTATTATTTTTGGTTTTCACTCTGATGTGGAATAATAATGATTATTAATAGTAATATTGGAACCTGTGACCATTCCAAAACTTACACCTGCAGCATTTGATTTTTCTATTAGTGTGTTTCTTGACTTGGAAGTTGAGATGATAGAAGTAGTGGCGATAGGGGCTGAGGAAATTTGATTTTGAGGCGATAAAATTTTATTTGCCACATCAATTTTCTGAGTAATTGAGTTTTCTATATAATGCTCTGCCACTGCAGAGGATTTCCAACCTCCATGTTTTTTTAAGGTAAGCAAATCGCCTCCAGCTTCTACTAATAACGTGGCGGATGACCGCCTAAAACAGTGGCCTGTATATTGTTCAGCATGAGGTAAATTTAGGTATTTTGCGATTACCGAAGGAACTTTACCAATTTTATTTATACCAACGATCTGGCAGGTACATTTTCCACCTTGATAATTAATAAATAATTTTTTTTCTGCGTATTTTTGCGGACGGAGTGCCGTATATTTTCGGTATAATTCAAGATGTTCCGTGATGGTAAATTTTCTTGAGATTTTG